GGACAGAAGGTGGCCCAAAAGCCCTTTCCTCTAGGCTGGGAGCAGCAGGAGGGATGGTGACCGGGAAGCCCCTTCCTCTGGACCAGGAGCAGTGGGATGATGGCTCAGAAGCCCCTACCTCTCGGCCGGGAACAGTGGGACTTAGTACCTTGGTCTGGTGGTCTGGTGTCCTCTGCGTCTTTGTAGTGTGGAACCAGGTGGCTGCCTGTCTGTAGCAGGGTGATTCAGCGTCTTCCGTGTGACTCAGGACCTCGGTAGGGCATGCACTGACCTGCCTGTCTGCAGCGGGCTGATTCGGCGTGTGTTCCGTGCGACTGGGGACCTCGGTAGGGTGTGGGCAGACCTGCCTGTCTGCAGCGGGTTGATTCGGCATCTTCCGCGCGATTCAGGACCTCCTACTTTATTAATTTTTAATGTCTATTTTTTTTCTATCATCTGTTTCTTCCAAATGTCTCCCATTATGTTGGTTTTGACCAGCATAAGTTTCCTCAAACACCTGATAACCCAAATACATCTGCTCACATTTAAGAGTGGAATACTAAAAACTGATTGGAAGCTCTCTGTCTTTGTAAAAAACAAATCCACTGTGGGCTTCAATAAAGGATCTGCCCAAGCTTTTTCCGTGTGAACTCCATAATCAGTCTCTTTACATCTTTTTTTGTATCTGATCACATGAAAATCTTCAAAGTAGTTTTTTTTTTTTGGTACCAGGGATTGAACTTGGGACCTTGCGCTTACGAGGCAGGCGGTGGAACCACTGAGCTAAATCCCTGGCCCTCTTCAGAGTAGTTTTAAAATGTAAATTTAAATGTCTTGTAATTTGTTCAGAAAGTAGGATATGGATTTGCTAGAATAGGCTGTAAACAAGGATTCTACTATTGAAGTTGGGAGTATGGAAACAATCACTGTGGAAATAACTATAATGCAAAACTTGAGTGTTGAGAGAAGCTCAAAGTGACTATCTCTTTAAAATTAGATGTAGTAGAATCAGGAAAATACAGTTTCCAGAATTCACCAAGAGTTGTACTAAACATCTCCAAATCAAAGATTCTGTAAGCCAAATAAAGGGAGATAAGCAAAATTCTGAAGCATGATGCCAAAAAACGGGGGATAAGAATATAGATGTCTACAAAAAAAGCTTACTGATGGCGACTAGTACATAATATTTGTAAAAAATTTTAATATTTTAATCTTACTACTAGAAATAACCACTATTAATTTTTTTATTTTCTAAAATATTAAAATGTTTTTGTTAATAAGTTCTACGACTACATAATATACCATCTTGTGGATATATCAGCCTTTATTTGGTCAACATCTTATTAATAAACTTTTATGGTATCCTCAATTTTAAAATTTTATAAATATCACTGTGATCACTGTAATACATCAATCTTTTTCTGTATTTCTGGTTTTCATAGAATAAATTTCCATAATGAAGTACAGTATTTTAAAGTTCTTGATATAGTCTGCCAAACTGTTTTCTACACAGGTTATAAAAAAAACAATTTCCTTAGTTTCTTTCTTTTTTTGGGGGGGGGTACCCGGGATCGAACTCGGGTCCTTGCGCCTGCGCAGCAGGCGGTGAAACCACTGAGCTAAATCCCTGGCCCCTGAATTTCCTTAGTTTCTAGACTACTTTGTAACCAAAATTAAAGATATGCTAGATTTCCTTCCAATCAAGTATTATGCTTCTAGGTTTTTATTATGCTTCTAGGTGTTATATGAATCTACAATAAGCAAAATAATGGCTACCAAAGATATCCAGGCCATAATTTTTGAAACTATGAGGTTACCTTACATGACAAAAGGGAATTTGCAGATGTCGTACAGCTAATTGAGACAGGAAGTTACCCTGGATAACCCATCCTAATCACATGAATCCTGAGGGAAGCACCTTTCCAACTGCAGGGAACCAGAGAGATGCCATGTGAGAAAGACTTAGGCAGCTTCTAGAAGCTGGAAATGCAAGGAAATAGATTCTCCCCGAGTCTCCAGGAAGGTATGCAGCTCTTCTTACACTTTGATTTAGCCCAGATAGGCCTGTGTCATACTTGTGACCTATAGAATTGTAAGATAATAAAATTATATTGTTCAGTCCACCAAGTTCATGGTGGTAGCAATAGAAAAATAATAAAGCATCTAAGGAAAATGAGGTTGGCGTCCATAGGAATGAATTATCATCATCGCTTCTTGGCCTTTTGGTTAAGATCAAGTGTAGGAATGAATTATGACTTCAGAACAAAAAACATTATATAGTATTTTTTTCTTTCTCTCTCTCTTTCTTTCTTTCTTTCGGTACTGGGGATTGAACTTGGGACTTAGTGCTTTTGAGGCAGGCAGCGGAACCACTGAGCAAAATCTCTGGCCCTATATATAGTATTTTTTAAAAATTTTATTTTATCGGTACATTTTAGGTATACAATATAATGACATTCATCATTGGAAATGTGCACCTTTACATAATCTCTCTTGGTTGTTATTTTTCCCCCATTCCCCTGCCCTCCCTTCAACCCCTCCATCACTCCCTATTTACAAAGACTTTGTTTCCATTTTCACATTTTCTCATATATAGTATTTTTTTGATGCTTCAGTTCACAAAAAAAGAAGCAGAAATAAGCTAAACAACAAAGTCACTGGCACATAATTAAAAGAACAAAAAGCCAAGCGTGTTAATACATGCCTGTAATTTCAGCCTTTGGGAGGCTGAGACAGGAGGATCACAAATTAGAGGGCAGAGTGGTTTATATAGCAAGTTCAAGGCCAGGATGAACTACATAATGAGACCTTGTTTCAAGAAAGAGTTAGAATTTGCCAATATACTATTCTGCTTTTCTTCTGTTTTCCCTTTTCATTCTACCTTTCTAATGTTTCAGAGATATTAGCATTTAAAGAATTCCTAGACCTTCAAGTAATATAATCATCAGTAATCTTACTTGTTGGCTATTATCAAAAAACAAACAAAACAGGGCCAGGGATTTAGCTCAGTGGCATCGTGCCTGCCTCGAAAGTGCAAGGTCCTGAGTTTGATCCTGGGTACTAAAAAAAAAAAAAATGCTGGTGAGAATGTGGAGAAAAAGGAACTCTTATACATTGTTGGTGGGAATGTAAATTTGTACAGCCACTGCGGAAAATAATGGGGATTCCTCAAAAAGATGAAAATAGAACTACCATAAGAGTCAACTAACTCATTCCTGAGTATATATCCAAAGGAAATGAAATCAGCACATCAAAGAAGTACCTGCTTGCCCATGTTTACTGTGGCATTATTCACAATAGCTAAGACATGAATCAGCCTATGCGCCCATCAATAGATGAGTGGATACAAAATATGGTATATAATATACACACAATGGAGTATTACTTAGCCATAAAGAAAATGGAATCATCTCATTTGCAGGAAAATGGATGGAGCCAGTGGTCATCACGTTAAGCAAAATATGCCAGACATAGAAAGAAAAGTATTGCATGTTTTCTCTCTTAAGTCAAAATTAGAAAAAAAAAAAAGAGAGAGAGAGAGAGACCTGAAAGTAGAAGAAGTACTATTAGGGAAGGGGAAGTAGACTGGGGGATTGGGGGAGAGAAGGAAGGATAAGAAAAGATAGTAGAGAGGGTAGATATGATCAAAACATGATATATACAGGGAAATGTCACAGTGAAACTCATTCACTTTTTTTTTGGTACCGGGGATCAAACTTGGGACCTTGTGCTTGTGAGGCAGGCGGCAGAACCACTGAGCTAAATCCCTGGCTCTGAAACTCATTCATTTTTACAGTTAATATGCATTAATAAATATAATATAAATAAATTTTGATAAATAGGAAAAAACTTGATAAAAAAGCCCCAAACTAACATTGCTAAAAAATGTGAAAGCCACTAATATAGTCCACTTTCTTTTATTTTATTCAAATGAAAAAAGTCTAGAGAAGCTATAAATGATTCAGGCAAAAGTTACTCCAACTCTGAAAAGCAAACCTCAAAAAAAAATACAGTATTACTGAAAAATTAACTAATTGAAGATTTTTTTATATTCTTTTGTAGTCTCTTTATGTCTTAAAATATGGCATTCTCTACATATAAGACTGTCATTAACTTCTTCATAGAACACATATTTTTGAAATGTTTTCAAGTAGTGCATAAAATAATGAGTGTCCAAGTTTTTCTCGTGACTAAAATTAGATTTGAGAAGGGCCAGGATTTAGCTCAGTGGCACCGCACCTGCCTCACAAGCACAAGGTCCTGAGTTTGATCCCCAGTACCAGAAAAAAAAATAACTTAAAATTAGATTTGAGATATCTATCTGGGGCAGGTTACCAGTGATTATAAATATAATTTCCTATACAATGGTAATTGGCCTTTAAAGGATCTAAACTTATGACATCAAATATTTCACAATATTTAGTCTACAGACTAAAAAGCAAAATCTTAAATGAAGGCTTAGAAATGGATAATTATACTAAAAGCATTCATCCTTTTCAAAGGAAACATTTTCATATTTTGCCAATAGTTTTCTAAGTCATTGTTCTTTCCTCATCTGAACTAAACCTTGTAATTTAGATTTTTATCTTCTTTTGAAGATGAAAAGGAAATGATGGCCCAAGTTTGTTAAATCTTAAATTACTAATTTTCCAAGAAATGAATTTTTGTTATGTTATTTCAGTAAATGAATCTAGGTTAACAAAGAGTCTGGTATTCTAGATTCCATTAAATGATAACTGTTTACAGGTAAATGGATGCTAACAGTCAGCCTTACCTCTCTCACTATTTATTTAGAACAGAAATAATTTTTTCTATTTGATACTGTGAAAGTATCAAAGTCCTCATATAATAGTTTTATTTCAGTCTTTAAAATAACTGATAATTTCATTTAAAGAATGAATATCAAGTAAGATGTTTTACCTCAACCAGTATACCAACAAAAGGGATAGAAGCTTCTTCATACTTCACAAAGAATAGCTCAGGATTAGTCTTCCAGACTCCAAGCCATTTGTCTCTCAATTTTAATTTTTCTAATAGGTATTTACTCATAGCCTCATCAGCATCTTCTGCCTAACAAAAGAAAAAAATATATAAATACATTAAATTATTGGTTTATAACTTAAATATTTTTATTGATTTACATTTAAAAATGGAACCAATATCACATCAAATTGTGAAAAGTCTGAGAAATTATAGACCTTGACTTAAAATTTTTAATAGAAAATACTTTAAATATTTAAATATTAGAAATAAGTTTGAAAGATACTTACTCAGCATAGTAATTAAAAAATGAGATACCTACTTGTTATCTACATCTGCAAGTACTTTGTTCTGTTAATCCACTAAGCAGAAGGAATGTAATTACATATATTAAAACATACAATTATCATATTAAAAATGTTATTTTTCTCAACTTTTATTGATGAAATGATCTACCTAAAATGTAATTAAAATATAAAAATTTAAAACCGTACTTCATTCCTTAAAACAAATGAACATTTTAAGCATTCAGTAAATATCTGCCCATTTTTATTTTTAAATTTAAATCTAGGTACTTCAAGGATGATAATCTGTTAGTCATCTTTCTGTTGCTGTGACAAAATACCTGAGATAAACAACTTGAAAAGAGCAAAGATTTATTTCAGCTCATGGTTTCACAGGTTTCAGTCTACAGTCACTTGGCCCCATCATTTTGGGCCCTGACAAGGCAGAAAAGCATGACAGGAAGTGTGTGATGGAGTTAAGCTGCTCATTTCATGTCAGTTGGGGAGAAGAGAGAGGCACCAGGGTCCCAATATCTCCTGCAAGAGCAGTCCCCAGTGACCTAACTTTCTCCACCTAGGCTCTACCTCCTAAACTCTCTATGGCCTCCCAACAGTGCTATCAGCTGGAGACCAAGACTTCACATGAGCCTCTGGAGGACACTGAAGATGCAAACCATAACATAAGCTCCTGTAAAAACTCAGTCAGATCTGGGTTGATTAATGACATAATAATTTATATAAATCTTTTTCACTGCCTTTAACAGACCTGGCTTTCTCCAACATTCAAAATCAGATGTAAAACCTGTCATAATACAGTCCTAGTTTTTCAGTCATAGTGTTTATAAATGTAAAACTTTCTCCTGCTTATAAAATATGGTAGGGCTGGGGATTTAGCTCAGGGGTTCCAGTGCCTGCCTCGAAAACGCAAGATCCCGAGTTCGATCCTTGATACTAAAAAAAAAAAAAAAAAAGGTAAACCTTCTGAAATAATATATAAAATTTAAAGAAAACAAAAATCACAGCTAATCCTGGCAGCCAAAGATATTAATTGATATTTTGGTATATTTCCTTTCAGTATTTCTTCTATAAATATATCCATACATGTATGTGCTTTTTTCCACTTAATTATAACATAGCAAACCTATAGCTCTTGAAAACATGATTTTTATCACTGCTTGGTTTTTCACTATATGAAACTGCTGTAAGTTCTTTTCTTCATCTGTTGTTGGAAATTCAGTTTGTAATTTTGAAATTTTTATAAATGTCACTGCAATGAATATACAAATTCTTCTGGTATAGTTTGTTTCATTTGATTGAGACAGGGTCTCCTTATATAGTTCACGATAGCCTTGAATTCACTTGTAGACAAGGCTGCCCTTGAACTAGAGGCAATCCTGCTGTCTCAGCCTCCCGAGGGCTGGGATTACAGGCGTGCGCGACCACGCCGGGCCTGGTGTAGCTTTTCAAAAGAAAAACGAAGTAATTTAAAAACATACAATATTTGCTCTCTACAATGTTAACAGATTTTTTTCTAGGTAAAACATCTTTCCACGTTGTAGACGTGGGAATCATTCTTAAAGTGCAAAGATTTTTAGTTTTCTAGTATAAAGTTAAGTCTAAGCAATCTCACCTTTATGTTCAGGTACACACACTGTCACTGTCAACTAAATATACTAGAGTATGCCTGGGCAAGGAGAGCCTTCCATGTCTTCATCTTTTAGGACCCTCTTAAGGGACCCTGGCAACGCAATCTGAACTCCTCCGGGGCAGAGTCGGGAGCCTCTTACGAGGAAGGCGCTCTCTAAAAGCTGAATCAAGTTTTGGGTGTTTTTGAAGAGCAGGCACCCACCCCATCAAGCTAAGAGGAAGACCCCAGGTCCCTCGTCACCCCGCAGGGATCTGTCTCTCCGAGGCTGGAGCTGGACTCCGCCCCGTTCCTGCCTCCTCACCTTGGCGCCCCGCAGCACCTGGTCGCAGTACAGCGCCGCCCTCTCCGCGCGCCACAAGCTCCTCAGGGGTGACGCGCACACGGCGGGCAGGGGCTGCGCCTCTGCCTCCCGGCCCCGCCCCATGCCCACTTCCTGCGCCCCGGGCACCGCCTCCTCCACCCGCGGCCAGGCCTCGGCCTCCTCCGCTCCGTACGGCTGCCGCTGCCGGAGCCGTCGCAGGAGGCGCGCCATTGGCCCCTTCCCGGGGCGCAGGGAGGCCACCACCGTCCGCACCCGGGACGCGGCGACAGCCTCTTCGCCTGGCTCGTCCGGGGCCATGTCGGGGACCGCGTCCTCAGGCCCTGCGGCGCCGGGCCCCGTCGCCATGCCCTCTGCACCTCCGGCCCGCTGCAGACGTTGGCCGGGGGGCTCGCGGCCCTCGCTGGGCGGGGGCGGGGAGGTGCGGCTCGCGGGCGCTCACGCCGAGCCCCGGGCACGCGCACGACCCCGCGCCGTCCCGCCAGTGACCACCCGCAGGGGCATCTTAGGGTCAGCTGGTGGTTTAGGGGGGATTGTGAGTCACCACGTGTCACTTCCCATTCCACACTCGCAGAGCCTCTGAAACGCCACCTGAAAGAAAGTGTATTTTTCTCCTGGGAAGCAGTTATAACCGGGACCCTCTGATTATTACTGGAGAAAACCATAAGTGACAAATCGAGCCATCTAGGTGTTTTTCTCCCCTCGCCCATTCACAGGGTTTCCAAAATACTCCCTTTACGTTTTGTTTTTTCAGTCAGTTAATTTTGGTTTTTTGAGACAGGGTCTCATTGTTGAGGCTGGTTTTGAACTATGTAACCCAGGCTGGCCTCAAACTTGCAGTGATCCTCCTCCCCCAGCCTCCTAGGTACTGGGATTACAGGTGTGTACCACGACGGGCTCCTCACTTTACATTTTAAACATGGCGCTCACTTTTAATTGACGTGGGTATGTGACAGTTTTGTGCTCAAAAGCCTCATAGAAGAGCTTCTATTATGGTATTGAACTACCAGCGAGGAGTGATGTGTGCAGAGCACGAACATTTTCACATTAAAAGCCTGCTCAAGATAGCACATTTTGGAGAACAGGGACCACTCATTTTTGATATTTTCTTACTGTGTACATCGTGCCTATTGGAAGAATGTGTTTACAGTCGAGCTGTCAAGGCACTGGGGTCCCCAGCTTCCAGGAGAAAGGACATTGGGGAAGGACATGGTGTTAAATTCTAAGTTTATTTTGAGGAAAACATTAGTATGATGTTACCCTAGTTCAGGGAGTGATTGTAGAACATATCATGTTTTTACTCTATCCCTTTTGTCAGGAGTTCTGGACTGTTTTTAAAATGATGACCATTTAGCTTTCACTGACCCAAACTAAAGTCCATTGCTCTTATTCTTTTCCTTCTACTCTTTTTCTTCCAAAAAAGTTTTGTTTTTAATAGATCATGTATTTTTTTAATTTTTAGGTTCAGAATAGTAAGGGTCACCTGTCTAGGCCCAAAATTTAACTTCCTTTTTCCCCAGAAGCAAGCGCATACTTATTAGGAATCTGCTGTGTACTAGGCATTGCATGATGCCAAAGTCATGGAAATAAAAGATTAGATTCCTGCCTTCTTAATCCTGGTGAAAAGTGTAGATGGGTTGATAAATGACTGTATCTGTAAGGGCTGTGATTAAAATTTATATTATATATATATATAT